AAAAAAAAAAAAAAAAAAAAAAAAAAAAAAAAAAAAAAAAAAAAAAAAAAAAGAAAAAAATCTAAGTCACCACATCACAAGACTATTTTTAGCTAAAAATGTCACTTGGAAATCAAACGGGGCCACATGGAAATTGGTCTGAACACAATGAAAAAAAGAGGAGGGAGGAGTTGTAAATACAGCGATCTCTAAATCACACGTCTCCGAGGAGCTGCCTCCTGGGGATACACGTGCTAACATTGGAGTGCTTAGTACCAGACGGTCTATTTGCTCACAATATTAAGGGGCATCTAGAATTAGCTATGGGAGGTTTCAAATCGCCTGCCGATTGGGTAGAGAAAGGCTTGATCCAGAGATGGTCCGTCAGTCAAGAGTGTGGATTCCCTGGGCCTTCCTGATGACTGTCTTGAAACTAAAAACAAAGAGACAACAGGGAAACATTTTAGAATGACTCTGGAAGAGCAGCGTGCCAAGAGGAGCGTCAGACAAGCTTCAGAGAGCAAACGTGAGTCAGGCTGTCACCAGGCAGACAATGGCAATGCAGCCCTGCATCGGGACACTGCAGCACCAACCCAGAGCAAATGGGAATGAAGAAGGAAATGAAAAGGTTGAAGCTGCATTAAAAAAAAATCATCAGAGTTCATCAGAAATTATCAGAAGACACCCCTTCAGGGTGAGGCACTCCCTCACCTTGTTCCCCACCTACCACTAGCCAACCAGCAGTTAACAGAGGACAAGCAGAGGTAAACAGTCGGTGCTACAGGAGGATGTGGTTCTGCCCCACCCTGTTCTTCCCAGGGATAACTAGGATGGTATTTTACTGCCCTAGAACAGTTGTGGCTAGTTACCTGGGCTTCTCAACATAAATGGACAATCTCTTCTTGCTCCTTGCCTTCTTACTTCCCTAACACTATACCACATTCTCCTACAGTGTCTGAGAAAAATTCAACAAAACTGAGCCCCAAATTGATGACATAATTTAACAGAATAGAAAGAGAACAAGTCAAAAGCATTAAAACTGTCATTGCTGCTTCCCCTGCAG